GGGCCGTGGCTGGCAGGGGCTCAGCCTGGCTCCCAGGTGGAATTTGACCGCCGACCCCCTTTGGCTGGGGCAGGGGCAGTGAGTGGCCAGGCCACCCGGGCGGGCTGGCTGGGGAGCAGAGAAAACAAGCGGGGAAGCAGTTTCAGGAAATGGAGCGCGGGGCTGCGGGGCTGCGAGGCGCAGGGAGTGCGCCGTCAGCAGAAGCGGAGGCGGCTCCGCACAGCAAATCCCAAGTAGGTCAGGCAGCGCCACCGTGACGGCTGCAGGCTTAGCACGCTTCCCACAGAAACGCTGACGCCCCTCCGCACCCCCCCTCCCCCGGCTCCTGGGCCCGGGCGCAGCGTGTGCCCACCTGCCTGGCAGAGAAGGGGCTCGAGCTCAGAGAGAGCCCACACCCGTCCTCGACCCCCCTCAAGGCCAGCGCAGCTCAGGCCTCCCCCTCACGAGCCCCCCACATGCCGGGTGGTCTGCAGGGCGGTGCTGACAGAAGGTTCTGGGGGGAGACAAGAGTCCCCCAGTGAGCAGGGCTGCAGCACGGGAGGTGAGGGGGCCGCCCCCCTGCAGCCGCTCCCCTGCAGCCCCCTGGCTCTCTGGGCCGCCTCCCACTCTTTCCCGCCACCTTGGGACAGAGGTAGGACCACTGCTGGGCACTGAGGCCTGGGTAACATGGGGCTGTGACCTTGGGGGGCTGGCCCGCAGGTCACCTGGAGGCTCCCCCAGGTGCCGCTCCTTCCTGAGGGAGGCCCCCACCTCCCCAGGTAACAAGCAGAGGTGGCTCCTGCACCCTGCCAGCCACGCGCTGTGGCAACACGAACTGCGCTGCGTCCATCACACGCCGCGGCCCCGTCACGAGGCTGGGCTACTTGATGTGCTCACATCTGCTCAATTGGTATTTCGATCAATGGATGCATTACAAGCTTTCCCTATAAGAGCCTAATAAACAACAAGATGGAAAGTAAAATTCTCCATAAAATGACACTTTAAACATCCATTCCAGCCAAAGCTATTGGTGTTTTGAACGTTAGCTGCAAAAAAAAGGTATTATTGGGCCTTAATGACCCCACGAGGGGGTGCAGAGTTCAGCTTGAGGGGCAGAGGGGCTGGGGCCCAGGGCTGGGGCGGGTCCTCGACCGAGTGTCCAGGGGTCACCCCCTCAGCCTGTGGCCCCTCCTCTGCTCCCTCGCCCCCAACTCTCTCCATCACCCCTCCTCTCCCTCTCTACCCTCTGTCTCTCTGTCCCCACCCCACCTGGCCCCGCACTGGCCATCCCCTGCCCTGATGTGAGCTCCTGAGGCAGCCCGCCACCTGGGCCCGAGCCCGCAGGACCCCTGGCAGGGCTCCGCGTGGGGACAAGCCATGGATGGAAGGCACAGGCCGATCCTGCCTGGGTTCCCTGGGAGACAGTCCCCATGGGGGTCCGTGCCAGAGGCCCACCCTGCCCGGCACCTGCCCTCCCCAAGGCCTCGTCCCCAATACCCTCCCTCCCCCGCCCAGCCCGGAA